ACTACTATGCTTCCAATAACAAATCCATCTATATTCAATCAAGTCAATGATTACTTATCTAATTCAACTGGTAGTAGTGTATCAGCTGAATGGATACTGTGGGCTTACTGGTATGATGTATGTCCAAATAATAATACCAATTGCAGCAATACTGAGGTTAATATAGAGTCTAAATAGTAATTAATAATTTCTTATAGTCTAATTATTTTCAGGTTGCATTAGCTTTTCAAAGTACTACCACATATGCTGTGTTTATATACAAGTGTGGACTCATACGATGGACAAGATATAGAGCTACTGTTGGCATTTATAGTTTTGGTGGTATTAATGATCGTCATCCATTATCAAACACTGATAATGTTACTGATATAGACTGCTATGATGTAGTATCAGGATGGACTAATGTTGTATACAGACTAGATCAAGGTATCATTAATTAAACATAATTATATTTTATACTCATTTAAAATAGAACTAAGAGTTTTAAATGAATTCAAAATTGTATCTACAACATCTGACTTAATTATTGTGTCATGGGAAGTTTATCCAAAAGAAAATGCTACACTTACATTGAGTATCACTGATTCTTATCAAACAGTTAACAATACCATTAATGTTACTGGATATGATAATGTATATAATTATACTGAAGATATATACCTTTGTAATGTTTATACCTTCAAACTGACACTACCAAAAACTGAAACTGGGTGCAATGACAACATTAGAACTATATCAACTGGTAAAGTACCGAAATTATTATTACTAAGCATTGTAATTATCTCATAGCATTGACACCAAAACCCGAGAATGTATCTGTATTATATCTTAACAATGAAACTTTAGTGATAAGATTTCAAGTAAGAGCATTTCCTCACATTTATTTTCTTTACAAAATAATACTAATTCTATTAGATACACCAGTGCTTTAATAATGAAATACAGTTGCTTCTTGCTGGAACTAATGGTTTTAACACTTCACATCCACTGGATATTAACAGTCTTCAATATATTGATGAGTTTTATATAGTACACTGGAATATAAAACTGAATAGAAACTCATTGTATTACCTAACAGTATCAGCAATTGGTACATATGAAACTAGCACTTCTGATGTAACAGAAATAAGTAAGACAGCAGTACTACAATAATTTCAATCAATCTATTCAGTAGGCAAATATAATGTAAAGGATATAATGATAGAGAGGAGTGAGGGTATTGTCTGTTTTGTTTGTGATACTGAAATGTTTAATGAATGTCAAGTAATGATAGCATCAATAACAACAACACTGATACCACAATCAATACAAACTAATGGAACATGTTACTCATTTACTGATAATGGAACATACACTGTATATGCACATGATATTGAGAATGGACTAATAATACTGACACCAGCAGTAGTTATACAATATACAGTGGACTGGATTGAACCATCAGACACAGGTTAGTTAGTAATGATCCATAAAAATTATTATCATAATTTATAGAAATGATTTTTTCAAGTATTGATACATTAGCCACTAAATCAATTAAACCCGGTTAGAAATTGATTAATGTATAATTGTCATAATAATTTATAGAAATAGATTTTTCCAGTATTAATTTTTTTTCCAGTATTAAAAGTTTGGTTACACAACACAGTCAAAATAATCAATTCTCATCAAATGGTGACCTTAAATCTGTGCTACCAAACATAACCATTACAGAAAATACAAGTAATTTTAGATTCACTTTGATCATAAGGCATTATACACACATCATGCAGTCACTGAAACAGATCAGTCATATACTAGTGCAGTTCTCAGTGGTCTCTTTGCACTCTCAACCTTTACTGGTATTATTTTATTGATAATACTCATTGCAGTACTCAGAAAAAAAGGTAAAAAGGTAAAATCTGATATAAAATTGTTCTTGCTTTTAAAAGGTAAAGTTAAGTCTCAAAGTAATATTGATATTCCCGTCAAAACTGAACCTAATTCAGCATATGAAATGATGCAACAAAGCAATAAAATACCACTGTACTCTGACATTGATGCCACTAATGTTGGTAATGCTAATGTAGTACCAATATATGATGACATACCAGAAGAGGACCCACCACCAGTCCCTCCTCGCTTGTATGAAGATGATGAAATCAGGACTACCCCATGACAAGTATACATCATACTAGTTTGAACAGTGGATATTTTTTATTGCTGTGTATAATAATACTTAAGTTTATGAGTGTGTGAATTCCTAACAATATTGATAAACATGATGCTTCATATACTTATATAATATATAGCTTATCAATGCACACATCTTTAGAGTTTGCTAGATGTATAAAGGCTACATTATTTTGTTCATTGTTTATTTTTGTACAAACTCAGACAAGAATATATAAACATCCTACTAGATTTTTCTTAAATAAATAATTATCATTGCCATAAACAGATAAAAAACACAAACTGACTAAATAAGTATAATGGAAATTTTGCGATTGGTAGCTTTTTTGCACACATGTAATTGCAGTAATATTATAAAACTAACCAAAACGCAGACAATAAGCTTAAACAATCATCTGACTGCTCTGCATTCCAATTAGAGCTGCTTATTAATCTCTTTAGTAATATTAATGCCTCTTAAGAATGAAATAATTCTTGCGATGCTTGGACAAAACTTTCCTGTCAAAAATGCATGTACATGTACTTGAATTACACAAGACTCAGAGAAAAAAATTAATACAAAAACTATTAAATAGGATTTTACTTTATTCAGACTCATTGCTTGTACCATTACCTCAGTAATCGTAATATCATTCCTATTAGGATTAGAACTTTAGGATTCACAAAAATTAATGCTGTAAAAAATTCTCAGTATTATGATAATTACTAGAGAATAAGAAAAAAATCTGTTACTGTATAGTGAAAGCATTATTCAAAATAAACAACAAGTAGAAAAAAAACATCAATGTTGCATGACAAAAATAATTATCCAACACACATACAAATAGAAACGTGCAATAGTCCATTTTTCTAAAGAACACTACACAGGATACAAAACTACAATCCAGTTCACCAGTGAAAGATGGTGATGATAGTATTTGTGATACTTATCTACTTCAATGGTCTCCTTGTTACCTCTGAGGGCAACTACCTTCCTTTCCTTTATCCTAATGACTATTCTACACTGGATAATCATAACTGGTATTCTACAGTTTCATTACCTTCCCCACTTAAATTTGGATCAACTTGTCACTATTATGCACAGGTAAAAACTCCATGAGTACAACTTACATGCATAACCAGTTTGTTTGACAGATTGTGTCTGGTGGGTACATTCACTGTATAATCTATGGAGAACATTTTTCTGTTATTGATTACATAAACATCGCCCCATACCGTGATGGTATAAGTTTAAGTACAAAAGGAGAAGTCCGTTATACTACTATGCTTCCAATAACAAATCCATCTATATTCAATCAAGTCAATGATTACTTATCTACTTCAACTGGTAGCAGTGTATCAGCTGAATGGATACTGTGGGCCTACTGGTATGATGTATGTCCAAATAATAATACCAATTGCAGCAATACTGAGGTTAAGTGTCTTTGTTTATGATTTAATTAATAATAATTTCCTTATTATATATAGTCTAATTATTTTCAGGTTGCATTAGCTTTTCAAAGTAATGTTACATATGCTGTGTTTATATACAAGTGTGGACTCATACGATGGACAAGATATAGAGCTACTGTTGGTATTTACAATGTTTCTGGTATTAATGATCATCATCCATTATCAAATACTGATAATGTTACTGACATAGACTGCTATGATGTAGTATCAGGATGGACTAATATTGTATACAGATTAGATCAAGGTAACGTATCATTTATAATTATTACAAAGTTTTTGCTCAATCAAAATAGGACAAAGAGTTTTAAATGAATTCAAAGTTGCATCTATAAGATTTGACATAATTATTGTGTCATGGGAAGTTTATCCAAAAGAAAATGCTACACTTACATTGAGTATCACTGATTCTTACCAAACAGTTAATAGTACTATTAATGTTACTGGATACGATAATGTATATAATTATACTGAAGATATACACCTTTGTAATGTTTATACCTTCAAACTGACACTACCAAAAACAGAAACTGGATGTAATAACAACATAAGAAGTATATCTACAGGTACAATAAACAACTTATAACTAAACACTGTCATTATTATTAATCTTTAGCACTGACACCAAAACCTGAGAATGTATCTGCATTATATCTTAACAATGAAACTTTAGTAATAAAATTTCAAGTAAGAGCATTTCCTCACATGTATTTTCTGCACAAAATAATATTAATCCTATTAGATACACAAGTGCTTTAATAATGAAATACAGTTGTTTCTAGCTGGAACTAATGGTTTTAACACTTCAAATCCACTGGATATTAACAGTCTTCAATATATTGATGAGTTTTATATAGTACACTGGAATATAAAACTGAATAGAAACTCATTGTATTACCTAACAGTATCAGCAATTGGTACATATGAAACTAGCACTTCTGATGTAACAGAAATAAGTAAGACAGCAGTACTACAATAATTTTAATCAATCTATTCAGTAGGCAAATATAATGTAAAGGATATAATGATAGAGAAGAGTGAGGGTATTGTCTGTTTTGTATGTGTTACTGAAATGTTTAATGAATGTCAAGTAATGATAGCGTCAGTAACAACAACACTGATACCACAATCAACACAAACTAATGGAACATGTTACTCATTTACTGATAATGGAACATACACTGTATATGCACATGATTTAGAGAATGGACTAATAATACTGACACCAGCAGTAGTTATACAATATACAGTGGACTGGATTGAACCATCAGACACAGGTTAGTTAGAATGAGCTCAATTCATGTCATAACAGCTATCATAATTATAATAAAAACAGTTCATTTAAGTATTGAAAGTTGGGCCACAAGCTGCAACAGAATGTTATTCTCATCAAATGATAGTACTAATTCTGTGTTTCCAAGCATTACTAATACCACTAATAAAAGTAATTTTAATTTATTTGATTGTACCTATATATACATATAACAGATCAGTCATACACTAGTGCAGTCCTTGGAGGTCTCTTTGCACTCTCAACCTGTACTGGTATTATTTTATTAATAATACTAGTTGCAATACTCAGAAAAAAAGGTAAAGATTTAAATCTGATATGATCTTTACTTATTTGTGCTATATAAAGGCAAAACTAAGACTCAAGTTGGTATTCCTGTCAAAACAAAAAATAATTTAGCATACGAAATGATGGAACAAAGCAATGAAATATCAATATCTCAAAATTACTCCAACAGTGATTTTACTAATATTGGTAATACTAATGTAGTACCAATATATGATGACATACCAGAAGAGAAACCACCACCAGTCCCTTCTCGCTTGTATGAAGATGATGAAATCAGTACCACATAGTGTTGTTTTAGTATGGTACAAGAGTTTTAGTTTTAGTTTCCTATTTCTTTAATTTTAGTTATGCAATGGTAATAATTTTAGTTTTAGTTATTGTTATTACTTCAAAATAGTATTTTAGTTTTAGTTTTATTCTTTTGATGCTTCTAGTTTTAGTTTTAGTTATAGTTTAATTCACCAAGCTCTTTCCGATAATGTAAAAGCAATTAAACCATCAAAATTAAGAACGTGGAAGAACTAAATGACCTA